AACAGTTTCACTCTTGGGCTGCTGACAGTAGGGAAGGACCCACACCTTCAGGAGCCTGGGGACTGGCCCCAGGATCCTGTTCCACTCACTCAACATCTCTGACTGCCGACAACTCTTGTAGAAACCTGGACAAAGGCCACCAATCGCAAGGAGGTGCAAGCTACCCAGAAGGGCCCCAGGATCGCATTCCACTCACTCGGCATCCCTGACCACCAACCACACACCAGAACTCTTCTAGAAACCTGGATAGGAAAAGGCCACTAATCCCACGGAGGTACAAGCTACCCAGAAGAGACACATACACAATGACGAGTAGAGTGTCTAAAACACCCAAGGACAGTAGAGAGACACACAGAGCTCAGCGAAGGGCAACACACTAGAGTGCAGCAGCACAGGCAGGTGGCCTCCCTGAAAGGTGCACCTGAGCGAGACATGCATGGGGTGAGGGAGCCAGCCACAGGTACCCCAGGGAAGGAGTTGGCCCAGCACACGGAGGGACAGTAAGGGTGACAGGCAGGCTAGAAGGGAGTGGGTGAGGGCGTGAAGGAGGAGATGGGGCCTGGAGAAACCAAACAGCATCTGTGTCAAAGTCTCAGTGAAGGGAACCTCACTTCTGAGGGTTGAGAAAGGACATTCTCACGGGATGGCCGCATTGACAACGCCCTATGAAGGGAGCAGGACAGAACTGAGGGGCCCAGCCAGTCTCCTTCAGTGACCCAGGCAGGAAAGGATGGCAGTTCAGGTCAGGGGTGCTTAGAAGCGTCAGGTTCTGGGGAAGTAAAGCCAGTGGACTTCCTGAACAGAGGGAAAAAAGGAGTCGCGGATGACTGTGAGGTTCCTCGGCCAAGCGACACGAAACATCCACTGATGCAGGGAAGGGGAAGGCAGAGTGACAAGCAGTGCCAGGTGCACAGAGGACAGAAGGGATTTGGTTTTGAACATGCTGCATTTGGAAAGTGTTACTTGACTGCACGTGGAGATGTTACGCGGACAGGTGGGTATGAGTCTTCAGTGTGTGAGTGGTTTGGACTAGAAAACGGGAGTGTCGCTGGGATCAGTATGGTACTACTGTCACAGACCTGGAGTGAGCACAGATGTAGCAAGAAGGCAGACCCTGGGCCAACTGGGATGACAGGCTACAGAGAAACCAGAGACAGAAACCAGCCTAGGCATCCCTCCAACCGTACGAAACCTAGCTGCTCCCAAACAGGAAGAGACCTGTCTCGTTCACGGCTTCAGGCACCTGAAAGTCCTGTGGTGTGCCTAAGAAAGCAGCTTAAGAACCATGCACCCTACTGTCCCTCCCTACACGGTCACGCATCTGCCCTTATCCTTACTACTGCAGGAGACCACTAATACCTTAACACAAGAGGTTCTCCCAGGGCACCTTGGCCATTCTGACATCGTAAGAATTCTACAGATAATGATGTTGTTAACAATATTAACATTTACTGGGAAATTAGGCTAAGAAATGCTCAGAAACATGTGGTTAAGATCAATATTAATACTCAAAGTAATTCTCTCTTAAAGAAAGAAAAGCTTGAGATTATTTCTGTGGAATAAAAATCTTGGTGCAAACATTATTCTTAAGTATTATTGTTCATCTGTTATAGAATTCTTCACAGCATAAAAAATTCTTTTTGGCCCTAGAGTTGGCTAGTATATTAAAGACAACACCTTGTGTCAGTGCCTTCCATGTAAAGGACACTAAGCAAGCATTTGTTAAATATCTCACACAAAGACATGACTCTAGTTGATGAATATTTTCCAACTACACCCATGTACACCTTAATACATGAAAAAGTAGGGAGAAAAAATGTATATTTTTAAATCTTCGTTTCATGTAAAAAAATAAAGTACAGAGCTCAGAAAATATGTCTTCTAATCACCAAGGAGGGGAGATATCCACAAGAAAGGCCTCCCTATAGAGTGCTACTGCCTCTGTGATATAAAACTGCGGGGGGTGGGGAGAGGGAGAGGGAACTATTATTTGGTGAAAAGGCCATCAAAGTCAAATCTTAACTCAGGGATTTTTAAAGTATTGTCTCATATTGGCTTTATATCACTTAGAAGTTGACTAAGAATAAATACTGCCTTCAAAGTTAATATAAATACATCAGTCAGAACATAATTGTCTAGCAGGTGACATAGATGTAGCACACAAGCATGATGGGCACTAAATGACCAACCAAATTTCCCCAATGCTGACAATGAACACATGGAATTTACAATAGACTGTGACTTTAAGTATTTTTCAGCAGACTACAAACTGGGACGGCTGATAAACTAAACTTAAATCCAGGTGATATTATTAAAGAAAACACAGCATACACATACAGTGTAAACCTCTCTTACTCTACCACAGTGACATCTTAGACAGTTTTGAGTTCATTAACAACTGGATATTTAAAATGTATTTCTAACATAACAAGAATAAAATAGATTACTCATGGCAAAATTTATTTCTTTTGCTCATGTATTTATGACTACATAAGAAAACACAGACTCAATTTATGACTAAAACTGAGAAAAGGTCAAAACCATAAACAAACAGTAACACTTAAAATTAACGGAGAAAAGCAAAGAGTATCTAAATCTAGTAACATTCAAGGCATGCTTCTAGAGAGTCACATGACTACATCTCCTGATCTAGGACACCCCTAAGGAGAACTGAATCTACTGAAAACATAAAATAACCACCACTAAAAGAAAAAAGAAAATCAAGACAGGAAAAAAGTACCGAAGGGAAAGAAACAAGAACATACCAAATCTAGAACAGAGATTGCTGGCATAGCAGTCTGCTGCAGGTAACAGAGAAGGAAAAAAAACAAAGAAAGATGAAGTGTGAAAAAAAAAAGTTAGGTTTAGACCTGTATTCTGCCATTGGCATATTTTGTTGCTATCATGCGTCATCTGTTTTTAGACAACCTGATGAGAAAAGAACTACAGGCTAATTTCTAGTATTCAGAAACAAAAAAATATCCACATGGTATTAAATACTTGAGTTTCATCATTAAGATACACAGAAACTAAAAAAAAGCAAAATTTCTCTCAGTTCTCTTATTTGGAGACTAACACAACTAATGACCAAAAACCAAATACTTTTTACTAAATTATTATAAGAAACTTTCCAAATATCATCATTCATACTAAAAGGCTTTAAAATATTCAGCGTTTTAACTGAATTTGGAAAAACTCTGACAGACCTTCAGATGAAAATGTAGTCCTCACAGAAAGGGATTAATTACAGAAATACCGCCGTGCAGCTGCTAATTTTCCATCCTGTCAGGACACAGGCTTAACTGTGGGAACTGCTGACACTACTGCTCCTTGGCCGCTAAGGCAGAGGCGGAGCATCCCTGCCTCGTCTTCTGGGGTGGCGACACAGGCCGTGAATGTGTTCAAGTTTCTTAACGTGCCCGGGACAGACACGCTGGAGCAGAGGGGCGTACCTGCCGTGGCAAGCACGACGGCAGCTGGCACAACTGAGTGCCAGAGAGTTCTGACAGTAGGTGAAAGTTATTCAAAGCACCCTTATGGCAAAAGTGCAGTACTTAGTTATTAATTAACAGTTATTATTAACAGCTCTCTTTCAAATAAAATAGTTCTTACAGTGGATACGGTTGTTCTTATGGAAGCTCGCTACTGATGTCTTGAAAAACACTAAGAAAAATACTAATAAAACAATGTAAGAGTTGACATTTTGGCCTCATTTAAGAAACTTAAGAGGGATTTGAGCTAGATTCTGGGCAAAGATACCTGTAAATTTGGCTGGGATATTACATATGCTAAGACAGGTATGTGTAGAGAGACTTTTCAGGAAAATGTCACAGAGCAAACTGCAAAGGGACTGCACTGCCGAGCTCTGCATGCACACCAATAACCACCCAGATTACAGTTCGTCAGGAGGTGGGGAGAGTGAAGTGTCTGACCTAACAGCTATTGGTTTAGAACTTTAGCACAGACAGCATAAAAAAAGAGCTGAAGTTAGAAACAAAATCCAAAAGACAAAAAGGACGTGGCTTTTGGCCATCTCTCCTCAGATTACTGCTTTGTGTTTAAAACAAACACAAAAAATCACTAAAACTCATTAACACATCATGGTCAGTAACACTCTCCACAAATTACTATCGATAAATGGCTCTGTTGATAATTCTCTTTATAGGGTAACATCTTGCATTCATTTAAAATTTAGAATTTTAATAATTTGTTACATTAAATTAATTTAAATTTTACTTTTGTTCTTTTATGTTAAACAAAAAGAACAAATCATTTTTATAATACAGAGAAATACGGATAAAATCAAAAGTTACCAGTATCTTTACACTGCAATTAAAATATAATTGTTTACTAATTTAATAAATACCTGCTTCATCAACAGTATAACTAACTACTGTGGAGATCTCACTTCCAGTAATGACCTTAAATTTGGCCATCTGAACAGTTTATTTTGTTAACCACCATGAAGTGCTGCTAATCGAGACCAGGAGCCAGCAAATTACCTGCCACGTGTTTTTGTAAATAAAGTTTTATCCGCACACAGCCAGGCCCGGTATTTACACGTGCTGGTGGCTGCTTTTGTGCTCCAGCAGCAGAGCTGAGTGGCGGCCAGAGGCCACGTGACTGCAAAGCCGAATGTATCTATTATCTGGCCCTTGAAGAAAAATTTGCCAACCCCTGATCAAGCTTATTACTGGTTATTGACAAACACTTGCTTTCTCAACTGAAGTGTTAATGAGAAGGATAATTATGAGTTTGCTAATTAAAACAATACAATTCCATTTGAATTGTATTAAAATTGTCAAAGCACACGTCTCAAAAAGGTTCGGCCTTCTAGCCTGGCTCATTTCTGCTGGCCATCGGCCCACAGCGGCACAGACACTGAGTACATCTGCCCAGGGCCTTCAGAACCCTTACGGAGACCAGGGTGCGGCTCCCTCTAACAGACACACAGGTTGAACCGGGGATCACATCGCACAACCGAGGCATCTCCCCTTTACCCTGGCTCTTCGCTCAGCCTCCAGGCGCTGCATGATCAGCATGGTGTCCACGTCGTCGTCCTCCTCTTCCTCGTCGTCCTCGTCCTTCTGCTTCGACTCCTGGAGCCTCTTTTGGAACTGCCACTCCAGCATGAGCTTCCGCAGGCGGTCGCTCTCCTCGGCGCTTCGGTCCGGCTTGCTCTGCAGCTCCTGGATCTCCTTGCTCAGCATGTCCACGATGTGCATCTGCTGCTGCTTCTCCAGCTTCTCCCTGGCGTCGCGCTTCCAGGGGTCAGGAGACAGGCTGTCTCCCGAGGACAGCTCTTCCCTGCTGACCGTGATGTACTGCAAGTCCCTGCGCTCGATGGTGCGGGGCTGCTGCTGGGGCTGCAGCTCCCGGATGACCGTGTCCTGCGGCCTCGGGAGCGCGGCGGGCTTCTCAGGCCTCGCAGGCGGCGCGGCCAGGGCGGGCAGCGCTTGCGAGCGCATCTGGCCCAGCTTGCGCTCCTGCTCGCGCCGCTTCCTCTCGCGCTCCTCCTCCAGGCGGGCCTTCTCCTTCTCGTACCAGCGCTGGTGCTCCTCTCGCCGCCTCCGCTCTGCCGGCGCGCACTGCGGCCCCAGCTGGCTGGCAGGCGGGGGCGGCAGCGGCAAATCCAGGGGTGCTCCGTCCAGGTCACCCGCGTAGTGCGCGGGGGGCGGTGGCGGCGGTGGCGGCAGGTCTGTCCGCACGGGCTGGGAGGCGGCCACTGCAGTGGGCGGAACGGCGGCCGGGGTTTTCCACCTGCCAGGGCCGCTTTTGGTCAGCGTGGACGCAGGCGTGACCGACTTGGACGAGTGGTTCAGGTGCTCCTGGCTGGAGGTGCTGGAGTCCAGCGAGGAGCTCTGGTTTATCCACATGTCGCTGTCGGACTTGCGGTCCATCGCGGGCTCGATCCGATGCCGCTCGAGTTGGTAAGCTGTGTCTTCTCGAAGTTCTTCCTGGGAACGGGTAACACGCTGGAAAAAGATAAGAACTATTATATTTCTGTTATTTATCAGAAGAAATGACTAAATATGCACAAGCATTTTATCTTCAGGGAGGAAAAAACTGGGAAAATTGTTACATGAGTATATAGAAGAGAGGCTGAGACTGTCCTATAGCTCATTGGTAATGTGGAATTACAGTAGATTTATCTGTAAAAAGAAGGGAAAACCGTATTTTTCTCTCTGCATCACTGGCAAAAAAAAAAAATGAAAACTCAGGCCCTTCACAGCTTGTGCCCCTTCTCACTCCCACGGCACCCTGCCCTGTCTCTGCATCTCCAGCACCCGGCCAGCCATGTGACTCAGACTCCAAGAGGTAAGTGTATCTGGTCTAATTAAGTAAAGATCAACATTGCTTTTCTAATCATTGTTAGAGTAATTATTAAACCTTAACCATTTTATGCATGCATGCCTTTCAACTTCACAAGCTGAGTACTGGCTTTGTCAGCTTTGACAGAGCTATGCATGGCAATGCACCAGCAAGTCCTACACGTCTGTGGTGCCTCCGCTTCAATCTAAAAAGTGTAAAACGCAGTGTATAATCTATACATCTATGGTATCTCCACTCTAATCCTAAAAGGTATAAAACACAGTGTATAATCTACACATCTGCGTTACCTCCACTCCAGCCCGAAAAGATATAAAACGCAGTGTATAATCTGTGGGACACAGAGTTGTGTGTGTCAGAGAGAGACTGGCATGAACACGCTTTCTCAAAGGGCAGTCCTAGAGTCTGAAAGATGGCAGGACTGAGAACAGTACATCCCAATAAAAAACAATCACTGCGATGTCTGAATCAAAAATCTTTTTCCTGCCATGTTAATGAGGAGAAATTAAAAATATAATCCGGAAAACAAACTGTTTCCTTTTCCTTAAAAATCAAACAAATAAACAAAAGCTGAATTATCACTCCCAACATTTTGCTATAGCTTTACTTTGTACAGAGACAGTTCTGTACCTCCTCCCAGGGTATAAACTCTAGGGACCACATAAAAATATCATTAAATTTCTTGATGTCCCCCTTCTGTGGGACGGGGACCACACCATGCTGCTGCTCTCTGCCAAGACTATACTGCAGCCTCCCCCTCCCCCATAAGTCCTATCATAATTCTTAGTCATTTCCACATCTGGCCTTTCAATTTCCCAACTTGCTCCTCTAGGTATTGTTTATCCGTCTTGTGAGGTGGAAGCAAATGGCAGCTTCATACTATAAACGTGAAGACTTAATAATGCTACTCCTATAAAACAGGAGAGAATGTGCATGAAAGTGGTATTCAATACATGTTTTATAAATTGGCTTGCCCTGATATATGGGAAGCAGATTTTCCTAAGGTCTAACAAAATGTGCTAGAAGAACTAGGGCATGAAATGACTTTAAAAATGAAATCTGGAGAAAGGTGTCTCCTCTCAGCCAACTCCAGCTTGCTCTCAGAACACGCGTGGCACCCTCGCAGGGCAACGGTGAAGGAGGTTACCCAACACTCACAGGCCTGGACTGCTGCAGGTAACCAGGCCCACCTAGGGAACAGGCAGGATGGACCAGCAGACCAGACAACAGGACAAGGCAAAATCTCGAGGTGGCCAAGATCTGTGGCCTGAGACCCACTTTCTGCCTCGGCACCCAGGCTCCTTCTCGTCTGTATTCATCCTGTCTCCTGGGAGCGCAATCCTCTCCCTCCTCTGCCTGTTTTTCTCATCCTTCAAGGCTCAGCTCACATCCCATCTCAACTCCAAATTTAGTCTTTTCTGACCACTCTAATCTAAGAATGATTACCTTCAGAATTCCTTTATCTGTTTACCATCCAGGGCATGTTATATATCCTAGACTGTACCTATTTTTAAGTATACCTTTAATTTCTTCTCCCAATCATTCACAGTGCAAACAGTTATCTTTCTAAAAAGAAAAACACATTTGATAATGTTCCCCAGCTTAACTGCCCAGACTGGCATCTCCTCTCTACTGATGTGGTCAAAAGTCCAAATTCCTCAGCAGTCACATCACCCTTCCATCTGACTCCACTTGTCTGCTCCCTTCACGCTGATCCTGGGCTTCTGCTCAGCTGCACCACTCTGTGCCTCCTCCCTCCTCCTGCACGGCTCTTCCATGCAGACAGCTGTGATGTCACCCAGGAGCTCGAGACAGCCTGTCACCCAGATGGAGCCACCTCCCCAGCAGCACTGACCATACTGTGTTGAATTTATCTGTCTCATTTCCCAACCATGCCATGAGCTCCACAGGGAGGGACAGCCCGACAGACACTGTGTGTAAAACATTTGGGTTCTCATTTCTCACCCACAGAATCAGCAAACCCTGCCTTAAAAACTGTGAGGCCTTATATTACTAACATTCATTAATCAAACATCAAAAGAACAAAGAATCCTTTTTCTTTTTGTTGCTGCTGTGATTGCTTTGGGGCTCTTCTTCATGAATTCTTTGCCTAGGCCGATGTCTGAGTCTTCCCTACTTTTTCTTCTAGGATTCTTAAGGTTTCATGCCTTAGGTTTAAGTCTGTTATCCATTGTGAATTGATTTTTGTACCCCCATACTATCCTGAAATAAAAAAAAAAAAGAATCCTTTTTCTTATTAGGTATTCTATCCTATTCCCTTTATTCCTCAGACTTCACCATAAAATGATGAAAGGAAAGAATAAGAGGACAAGAATCCTGCTCTACAGAAAGTATCAAGTGTATCTCAAAAGTCACTCAGTTGTTACTGTCACCCTGGTCTATCTCACTCCTTTGAGAACTGAGAAAAGCTTGCGCAGTCCCTTATTTCTAACCTGAATGGCAGCGCTGGAATGGTTACTGTCTGTGTGCATGTGTGGCTTTTCCTCATAATTTGGCCACTGGTTCTGAGGAGGAGCCATCCGGTCCTGGGACTTGGAAGCTGGGAAGGTAAAATACTCTCTGGTGTATGTCTGAGTGGGGATGGGGTAGGCTTCAGGTCTAGGTGGAGGAGTCTGCTCCTGTAAAATGTGAAGAACAAAGAAAAGTGAGTTGTTTACAAGCGAACTGTTTACAAACAGACTAATTTAATTTCCAATGATATGTTTTAAAATACAAAAAATAGTATATACATTAAACACTATGTTAAAAATTAAGCATTTGCTCCTATACTGAGAATAATGAAAAATAGCCCAGACTTATTAATTTAAAACTAATTTACCTCACTAGTATATTAAAAATCAAAAATTAAATGCTGCAAATTTAGGAATTATACTCAATGATAATTTGTACAGTAGTAATAATCTTATTAGATAACTTAAGCCAGGCACAACAGCTCATGCCTATAATCTCAGCTACTTCGGAGGCTGAGGCAGGAGGATCGCCTGAGCCCCAGAGTTTGAGACCAGCTTAGACAACATAGTGAGACCCATAAAAAAAATTAGCCAGGTATGGTGGCTTGTGCCTGCAGTCTCAGCTACTTCGGAGGCTGAGGCAGGAGGATCGCCTGAGCCCCAGAGTTTGAGACCACACTGGGCAATACAGTGAGACTTTGAGACCACATTGGGTAATATAGTGAAACTTTGTCTCAAAAAAAAAAAAATAAAAAAATCTTATTAGATAACCTAGATATTTCAAGGGAAACCCAAGTATTAAAGTGTAGTGAAAGTCTTTTGCTTATTTCTCAGACCTCAGTGCAGAGGTTTCCAGTGGAGACAGACGTTATCTTTGCTGTTGTTCCTGAAGCATATGAACTTTTTCCTCCAGGACTGGGAGGCTGATCTGGTAAAAAGTCAATGGGAAAAAGGTTAATATTAAACAAGCAAACTACATGTAAGATAAAAATTTAAGGGTCTCATTCATTTTCACACTGTTAGTGAGATGTCTAGCATAGAGACACAGAAAACAAGGCATGTGAGAAATCAGGTCTCACATCCACACCGACTTCTTAAATCATCAGAACCTAGAGCTACAGAGTTTTATCTATAGACCCAGTTTTACCCAGGACTGGTAGACATTTTTGGTAAAGGGCAAGATGGTAAATACTTTATGCTTTGCAAGCCTTTTGTCTCCTGTTGCATATCTATTATTATTCTTTCGTTAACTCTTTAAAAGGGTAAAAAACATTTTAGTTCCTGTTGGTAATTTGCTAACCCCTGCTAGAGACAATAGGGACGTATTTGCTCAGAGAATCAACTGAACCAAAGGTTTTCCCTCTTAGTTTTTAATTCTGTTAGAGAAATGTTAATTATGATGTCCCTTATGGAAACCATATCCTAGGTAGCCAATATATTCAGGTAATAATTTAAGTTTCATAATTACCAAACCACCAACTGCCCACCCCCTACTTCTGACCATCGTGTACTTGGCAAGTGAGAAAGGGTTTCCTCTTACTTGCCACATTGGGGCTAGAGCGGTGATCAGCTCTGTTCTTCATTAGTCTGTCATCACCAGGCAGTTTCTTTGGTTCACTGTACTCTGCCCAGGGTAGCTGAGGACTCTCAGGAGAACCATTTTGAGCTGAATTATTATACAGCTCAAAACCTTCACTCTTTGGTCGGGGTTTACCTGAGCCACGACGATCTGAAACTGAAATCAAACTACATTCAGTATCTCTTCATTTGTTCAAGATTTTATTCTATTTTCAACACCTAGAATAGCTTTAAAAGAAAGATCTACAAATATTTAAAATTCCATAAGAACTATCCTCAGCAAAATAATACAGTGATTTTCATATAAAGGTAAATTCTTTCTATAGAATCTTAAAACAACTTTCAAATAAATATACCAAAAATAAAGAAAACATTTTACTTAGCTGGTATTCATGGGAAAACGTACACTTTCAAAGCTTATTTTCTTACTAAATGAAACTTAACCATTTTAAGTAACAAGTCTAACCATTTTAAAGTAACTTTTTTAAAAACTTAAATACACTTTCCTCACTTCTTAAAAAAATTACAAATGTTTTTAGTTACTGAGGGTTACTGGGGTTATTGTCACCGTGGAGAGCCATCAAATGTGATCATTCAGCTCTTTGTTACTTTTCAGTTTTCCAATCTTCTTGCTAACCCTGGTTTATTATCTACTTTTAATAGCTTTCCTCTTTAATTTCTAATTCACGTTCTAGTTTGCTTCTCTTCAATGACTCTAAACCAAGAAATCAGACAACCAAGATATTAAGTTCTATGTTATGGAAAAAGTAAAAAACGTGCTGAATCAAGGCCAACAATATGACACATGGTTTTGTGGGGATACCCTTTTTGTTTGTTTCAAGAAACAGCAGGTCCAGGTTGTGTGGTACCTTTGTTGTTGCTATTGTTTGTAGAATTCTGACTTTTGGAGAAGAGGGCTATAAAGGCCTATATTTAGAAGGCTATGCACACATTTAGCAAAGCGTATTAAGAATGACCTGGAAGGTAAATAAAGATTTAAGAGAGAATGTGAACCACAATGGTTTTCTCCTGTGGTGTCTGAACTTCTATTAAAAATCCTAAACTGGCCAAGTGAGGTGGCTCATGCCTGCAATCCTAGCACTTTGGGAGGCTGAGGCAGGAACATTGCTTGAGGCCAGGAATTTGTGATCAGCCTGGGCAATTGAGAGATCCCCATCTCTACAAGTGCACACCTAACAATCCCACCTACTTGTGAGGCTGAGGCAGGAGGAACTCTTGAGCCCAGGAGTTTGAGGTTGCAGTGAACTATGATGATGCCACTGCACTCTCGCTCTGGGCAATGGAGCGAGTACCTTATCTCAAAAAAAAAAAAGTACTAAATTTATGTTGATTTTATTCTGACATTTTTTTTTATATAGTTACAAAACCAGTTCCCACAAATAAATTACTTTATTTAAATAACTGAGTTTTTACATAAAGTGAATTACAGTCAAGTGTTGAATAACAATGTTTCCATCAACTATGAACCACATACACGACAGTGGTATCATGAGATTTTAACGGAACTGAAAAATTCCCACTGTCTAATGATGGTGCAGCTGTTGTAAAGCTGTCACATAACGCATTACTCACACGATTTTAGTGATGCTGGTGGAAGCTACTACACCTTGCTGCCAGTGGTATAAAAATACAACATATCCAGTGATGTGCAGTACACAGTACTTGATAATGATAATAAATGTGTTACTGGTTTATGTTTTTATTGTAGTATACTTTTTATCATTATTTTAGAGTATACTCCCTTCTACGTATAAAAAAAGTTGACGGTAAAGCAGCCTCAGGCACATCCTCTAGGAAGTATCCAGAAGAAGGCACTGTTACCACTGGAGATGACAGCTCCGAGCACGTTACTGCCCTTGAAGACCTCTCAACGGGACCAGATGTGCAGGTGGAAGACAGTGATATTGATGATCCTGACCCTGTGCAGACCTAGGCTAATGTGTGTTTATGTTTGAGTTTTTAACAAAGAT